TTCGCTAGAAACGATTGAATCGAATAATTGAGAGACTATTTTATAGTTCATTTTGAAACATACATTTCTTACTGCTCTGAAAGTGATAACAAATAAAAATTACAAGAAGAAAGTTTCGAAAAAACTTGAAAACAAGAATCATAATGTGATGTGAGTCTAAATAATTAATACTATTTTTCATTCCATAATTTTAAGCTGCTTGTTTTCTGTTACTTATGCATAGATTTTGAAAGCTTTTTTTTTATTTTCAGACAAAAGTAAATGAATGTTATTGTTAGCAAAGTGATAAAACTTTAAAGATTGATAGGTTAAATTCAAAAATTTTGGCAGGTAAAAAGTGTCACGTATTAACCTCTGACTATCTTAGAACTTAATTAATATACATTATATTCATTCTTAAATTATATCTTTATATAATGACTTTTTCATTATTATTTCAGTGCTAAAATTTGCATTATTCTGTTTTGTAGTGAAAGTACTGCTTTTTCAAAACTTTTCTGTTGAAATTTTAAAAATATGTAATTGTGATTTTGTCAATTAAGAATACCTTTCGGTTGATTAAAGTTATAATGTTTTAAAGCAAATTTTTCCAAAAAAAGAAAATTTTTTAAGCATGAAAAAACCATTGAGTAGTCAAACAAATTTCAAGCACAACCAAACCCTTCTAGCAGAATAAGTTGCTTTGAAATATTATAATCTTAATTAACAAAGTATCAGCTATATAAAAGTATTCACTAAAATTAAATCTTTAAATACCTCTTGAACTTCAGCACATGAGCTTTCACGATCCGATTTGGCTGGAGCATATTTTTGCTGCTTCAAGTTGATACTTTCTTTCATTGCGTATAAAAGTGCTCAAATTTACTGTTTCGCTGCACTTTATTCAGTCATGTAATGGACTACAAATCCAAGACATGGAATTTATCTTCATACTCGATTTCTCGTTGATATGGATTGATAGTCTTATTCAATCAAAACTGATATCTGACAAAAAAATTCATTTTAATCATACTAAAATTATTAGATTTTCTACACCAAAATTGTCATTATTTATATTTAGCATATTCTAATGATCATCATTTATTTTGCTAACAATTGGACAAATGAAACCAATATTAGTGGTAGGTAATATTATCAGTTAAATATCATGTCAAAAACAAAGAAAAAATTAGAGTGAATTTAATAATCTGTAATTTATAACCGAAAAAGGCTATACAGTTCACATTTAGCAAAAACTGCAGGAGGAAATCCAATGATAACCTTGTATGTTCATAGCTTTGTTCATTCTTGGTCTTCATTGATGGCATCAGTCGAGTTTGCCTGTTGTTTGTCCTGGGAAAGGCTCCGAACGAGGTAAAAAGTAATTCAGTCTCACAAAGTGAGATTCAGTGAATTTCACTTCTCAGTTTTCACCTTTGTGAACTCTCCACGCCCTTCCTCCCAGTATCACTCTGACGATCGCATCAATCAGACATTAGTACAGAACGAACCGTCCAAGTAATCTGCCGGGAAAAAAGCCCCAAATAACCATAAAACTGGAAAATATTCTAAAAACTAATTTCGTCTAATTAACTACCTAACTATCTAACTATTTCATTAACTACTAACACCTAAGCTTTCAGTCTAGTTTAACCTAATGTTTAATAATCCTAATATTCTAACTAGAACTCAACTCTATCAAAAAAATAAATCAAACCACTCACTTACAATGAATATTGCTAACACTGCCGCTTTGTTTTCCAAACTGAAAACCTGAAAACACTCGTAACATTAGTTCAAATACAACAGCTTTTGTCGAGACTTAAATACAAAAAAAGAGGAAATAAAGAGAAGAATACAATTAATGGAAAAGGCTAAGAAAATGAAAAATATTTACAATCAACGTGAAAATAGAAAAAATACAATTTACAATGCCAAAATAACAGGAAAAGATATAATACTACTACAAAATTATGAATAACTTATACAACTACACCTAACGGAAGACGAACAGACAATACTTAGAAAAAAGTAAAATAAAAAAACAATAAAACCAAAAAATACACAAAATAAATTTAAAAAGTTGTCGATTGTCGAATCCCTCCTTCAGTTTCCATTGCAACGCGGTGTTGCTGCTCGCTTGCCTTCAAACTCGTTAACGCCTACGACGTT